TCTGTCTGTTAAGTCATCACAGAAAAACCACTGGAGGGATTTTGATGAAATTCGGTATGGCTGGTTATCCGGGTCAACATATAGGATACTTTTTACCGCAGGAAAATGTTTCATTTCTGAGAAAAAATACAAAAACTGCAATGTAAGAGTATACTAATATGTAAAACCTAAGAATTTGGTTTTTGGTCATCTGAATGCGGGCGGAGCCGCAGGCAATGCTAGTAATATAATATAGACAATTTTTATTAGCTTACAACTTCAACTATTTTTTTTACGGTTTTAAAGCTATGTAGATACATTTTGTAGGTATTTGCTAATAAATAGTGGTCAATAGTTATCTAAAATTATTATAATAATATAAAACGTTGCTTAAAAGGCATATATAACTATTGTGGAGTAAAATAAGAATGAGCTACGCATAATCCAATATTTAAATTATAAGCTTATAATCACATATATTTTGAATATATATTATACTATTTTCTAGTCTGTGATCGCCCTTAGTTATAATAAATCTTGTCAAGCGGCAATTTCCGGAAAGTCATTTAATTCAGAATAGCGAAGCAGTTGTGGATGCACCCGTTTTTCGAATCAAACATTGAAACCGCGATAAATTTATTTCATTTGGCAGTTATATCCACGTTTTTTAATGCTACTTATTCTTATTTATCTTTAGACCTTGATTTCGGTATTTAAATTCTAACTTATTTTACGTATAACCTGTGAACAACTAAAAGTAATAAACTTAAACACATTAAGTACTAGCATTGCCCGCGACTCCGCTCGTGTCGGCAGATGACCAAAAACCCAATTCTTAGGTTTTACATATTAGTTAGAAATGAGACATTTTCCTGCGGTAAAAAGTTTCTTATATGTTGACCCGGATAACCATACCAAACCAAATTTCATCAAAATCTCTCCAGTAGTTTTTCTGTGATGCGGTATCAGACAGACAGACGCACAGACAGATAGACAAAAATTCTAAAAACTATAGATTCGGCCTCTGTCTATAATTATTATATCGATAATAATGTCTATTTCAATAAGATTTTCCAAAAAATATTTAATGTACAGATTCGGCTTAGTTACAATTTTATTATATGTACCTATAGATTTAATCAATTTGTTGTTTGAGTAGCATTTAATAGAGGCTATGTTAGGATTACCATATCTAAGCCTCTATCGAGTGTCTCTGTATTTCATACCAAAGCTTTATAATTTAAATATGTATTTTTTTATAAATACTTAAATTAGTAGTAAATGTTTAAAAATTATTTTTATAAATGATCTCAAACTCATAGCTTCCAGATTTTTAGAGTACCTACTTGATAGTGAATTAAACAAGCACAATATCGTAATAAGATTGCTAATAACATCAAATTGTAATATGCGAATAATCCCTTTTAAGTATTATAATTATTGTTATTTAATCATTTGGTAGTTTAAAAAGTCCATAAATCAAAAGAATGAGAAAATATTAGTACCTACCTACTATATACATGTGAACATAATTCGAGTTCCGTTTAAGTCTTTAATGGTAATATTTAGGCCCTGTTTACTTTCAAAGAAAAATATTTATTTAAAAAGGAATTTGTGTACTGTGAGATATATTGGAATATTGGAAAGTAAATGATTATAGTTATAATTCACGATTGCGCTGAGAGTTCACACGTGTGGTGCAATACATTTTGTGGCAAATCTTTTGATCCCATTGACGTTGGTTTACGCAGTACGCGCTGTAGCCTGTCCGGCGTGTTCGGTGTGCACTTGTGAAGCTCTGAAGTATGATTTACATCCTTGGGGCTTGCAAATGTTACTTATTTTGTATGACATTAAATATCCTCAATATTTATCATGATGGTGTATAAATTCTCTAATATGCATACGTAGAGGTACACATTATAGTCTTTTTACTTCAAATTCAAGTTTAACATTCTATATTACATAATTTATAGAGAAAGAGAAATCTTGATGATGATTTTATTGTACCTAAAAAAGATAAATGAATGTACAGTTTTCGAATAATAAAATATTTTAACATAAATACGTACCTACATCTAATTTCCATAAGAACTTTTATAAAAATAATAAAGGCATTGGAGTCATAAATATTTGAAATTCCCGATGAGTTTGGAATACGTTTATATGTACCTACGTTTGTATGTACCTACATAATATATAAGCTCGAACCCTGCTCTTAATCGTCTAAAAATATTAGCATTAGAAGATTTAAGTTTTGTTAGTTATTTATTACTGAGTGTTACGTCTGTGTGTGTGCTTGAAGACGTTCAAGATTATTAAACTGTTTAGTAATTAGGGACTAATTATTGGGGAATCAAATCGTAAATTTATGCATACGTATGTATAACAGCAGTTTATATTTTGTACCTTTTGGGAATTTTGTAAAATGTAAAGTCTAAAGATATAAATACATATAATGTAGTTTAAGTGTGTAAAATAACTAATAAAATATTATAAATTATTATCCATTATTAAACATTGAATGTGTCGATTAAACATTTTGTTTTAAGCAAGAAAGCAAGGTATCTGCAAAGGCTAACGATTTAAGTAGTGACTTAATAAATCAAATTCACCAAGCCCAAGAAATGGGATATCAATATAAATTTATTTCCTCCTAACCGTAAGACAAACTCGTACTGAACCAATTTTTTATGTTCTATAAATATTTTTGTCTCAAATACTCAATTTAACCATCTAGCATTACCTATATATTAGCAATTTTTAATCTTAACATGTCAGGCTTATAAAAGCTTTTTAAAATCGAGAAGCTTTCTTTGCTTACCTATAGGTACGGTAAATTTTATTACGTACAAATATAAACTTTTTTGCCTCACCTCCGGTAATTGTATTAAGTAAACAATGACACGCGGCTCCTCAAGTAATGATTGCATCTATATCGGTGGCTCGGACGAACCGCAGGTGGTTCTGACAAGCAAAATAAACTGAATCGTAATCGATTTTAGAGTTAGAGCCAACAGTTGTTCGTGAATGGATCGATGTATCAGGTATTTAAAGATTGGAACATTTGATCGGCTCTACATTAAGTTTAAACGAATAAAATTGTTAGTAAGTATTCCACACTAGTTTAGGTTCTGTAAATAAATGAACATGGGTGGCGGAAGCATCTTTGGTGTATGCTGACTGTATGAGTACCTAACGAAGCCGTTGTTTAATTGGAAACTAATTAAATAAGTTGTTTATATATCAACGTATTAGAGTAACACCTGCACCTACCTCTTTCTATGTAGATCATGTTGAAATCGAGGTGTTTTATTTAATTCGTAAGAATATATTTAAAAGAAATATAGACCATTTTTAATATCAGAACAATAAAAAATGGATTTTATTACAATAAAACAAAACATGAAAAAACTTGTCGTAAGTGGGTTATACCTACTATATGCCGTCGGGGCGTCGTAGTTGAATGCGTAAGCGATCCTGCGACACCCCATTAAGACGGGGGAAGGTTTTGTTGGGTTTTAGTGGGTAGTACTGGCTTCGCCGGTGAGTCCCACACTTCGTGCGTAAATGCATTTCCCAACGTTAAAAAAAAAAATACCTACTATATAGTAGATATATTCCCACATTATAGATTTAAATGACGTTAGTTATGGAAAGTGGTGCATAAAATTTATAAAATCTAAACTGGACTTATTGTCTACATATTGTGTCTCGATGAAAAAATAAGGGAACGCAGATTAAAAATATTACTCTGTAGGTGTTATCCACACCCTACGTTAGGATTTTTTTAATGCGTAAAAATATTTTATGAATTTAAAGATTATAAAGCATTCTAAAGTAAATTTACTAGCTGAAATATGACAATGATTGTTGAAGATGTTAGAAAAAATCATGCCGACTGGGAGCTTTACTAGCGTGCGCTGCTTTATATATGAAGACAATGTATTAAGAAATTATTCATTTTAAAAAGACCTATTAAACTAATGCTATTGAAGCAATACTAAATGTAGGTAGGTACCTGATTAGGGAGGCAATCAAATGAAGGGAGGGTGTCACTTGTACTTTATACTTATAGGTACCTACTTTATATTTACACAACCGTACGTACCTATCTTAATTATTACTTAATGTTAACAAGCAAAGTACTATTGGAAGAAACATTTTCAAAATATAGTAAATAGTATATGGTTGATTATATATTAAAATGATGTGATTATTGTAGATTGTGATTGATTATTGATTATTGTGATTATTATAAAAATAGAAATTATAAGTGTCCAAAATTAAAATATTGTGATAACTTCAATATGTCTTTAGAAAATACCTAGGTATATATTTGCGAGCATTTTAGTATTTAAAAATTTTCCCCACGAACATTTAGGTGAAACTGAATTACAATTTAAGATTTAAGTGTTACATTTATTGCGCTATTATTTAGGTACCTACCCATTCCAATATGTTTAATCAGCCTATTAACTACTTCTAAATATTTTTAATTTGCCAATAGAAGATCTATTATATGGTTCTAATTCAACTTAATTTACAGCCACTTTAGCATAGACATAAACATTCTTGATTATTTAAAAAGGTACCAACATAAATTTTACACAATGGATAGGCTTGTTTAGAATCAATTACAATTATACGGCTAAACGGAAAGAAAGTTTACATTACATAGATATATAACGCTTAACCCCCACTATTACATGACGCAAGCTTGGCAGTAATAAAATTAAATTGAACTTGCAAAGCCATATAAAACACATTAAAGAGTCAGTTTATTGTAAACAACTGCAGTGTTTGTAACATCGGGTCGTTCGAATTTCGAAAGCACTCCATTGCGGCGCAAACGCAACGCCCAGCGTGGATTAGCCAATGAGATCTCTTTATTTCCCTCGACACGCCCATCTCCTGCGCTTACGCTGCTTTGCGGGCTGATAACGACACGCGAAGCTCAGTTTTTCAGTTGCGTTCGCTACGACAGGTCCGGTATATGATTTTGTTTAAATTTTTTTGTTATGACTTCCGTCAGTGGAGATGTAAACACATCTAAGTTAAAGTTCAGTGTGGATAGTATACTTGGGAATAATGATTCGTCATCGAATAATCAAGTGCCAGAATCTCGCAGCCAGGAGCCTCCTTGTGCGGGGTGCGTTGCTGCTCTGTACAGATGTTGCAGAGATGAGCCCCCTCTTCTACAATTGCAACTACCATTGCCATATGCACATTTACACCCTGCTTTGAGACCTACTTCTGGTAAGTCATTATACATTATTATGTAAACATGTTAGTCGGATGTTTAATTGGATCGCAAAATATTGTACAAAATATTTCGAAGATACTAGACGGCTTAAAAATAAGTTATAAATTTAAAACTAAATATAACAATTATTTTACTAGTTTTACTTTATTTTAATATAAATTTATTTTAGATTTAAATTATTATAATATACGCAAACATAAGCAAACATAATAATATAAGCAAACATAAATTTACATGTTTGCTTAGTGTTTTTTTATTTAAAATTACTGTGATCTTATAAATATACCAATGAAAGATATTAAATACTTAGAATTGGAATTTGCATAATTTGAAGTAATATTGGTATCTAGTACCTACTTCTACCTATCCCTACAGTTTAGCTACCACGGGAAAATTTATTTGTACATCACGTAACTACGTAGCCATTTACAAATTTTATAAAATAATATTTATACATTATTTATTTTCACGTTCTTATGACTTTACAGGGGACTCTATTAATGAAGATTGGAATGTACATGATAGAGATTAATACACCTAGATGTTGTTACTGTTACTTCACTGTTAGAAGTGGTCTTTTTTAATTTCACCTAAAAAGGTGAAATTTATTCATTTTATATATTTATTAAGTTATAATTATTATTTACTTTATTTATATTTATTAAGGGTAAAAATTGTATCATTATAAATATACTAGCGACTCACTGTCGCTTCGCTCGGGTTCGTCCCTAGGTTGATTATCCATACAAACTTTCTTCCCCATTTTCTCCCCCTTAAACAATGATTTCCGGGATAAAAAGTATCCTATGTCCTCCATCCTTGGATCCTTTCCAGGGTCTCTCTTTTACAAACTTGACCTCTTTATAATACTAGTATAGATTATTATTGACAAATATGGTAGGTACCTATATTATTATTATTGTTATTTAATTTAAATATGTCAATGTAATAATAAGATTTAGGTATTGTACCTGGTTCATTTTAATAAACACAAACTGCACTTTAAAATAAAATTACCGTAAAAGTTATTATGATTTTAGTAGGTAGAGCAATTGATTTATTTAGCTCTAGGTATAGAGCTAAGATCGAGATTTATTTAGGTATATTAATCTTTGATTCTAAGAATCATTGAAGACTTGAGAAAAGTTTTTGGTTGTATTTAAATTAATTACATATGTTATTTATTTTAGTAACGATTTACTTTCGAGGAATTTTCTTTTAAAATACATGGCCTACAAATAGTGGAAAAAGTGATAAGTAATTTCAAAAAAAATAATTTATAGTTACTTACATTATTTAAAATTATAATATTTTCAATAATATCGTTGCTTTTAAATTGTCCAGTTATATAATACCTACCTATTATTTACTTTTTATTAAGTAGGTACTTATTGTATTTTAACCCTGGATTATCAAAACAGTGACACGGACTAGTCTATCGTATTAAAAAATATTTACACAAGATTTATAATACTTGTAGGTACGCCGTTGTCGCCCGCGGCTTCATATGCATGGTTCGTCGATAATAACAGCCTGTTACTTAGAAATAGCGTAGAGTAAATTATTAATTATGAACAATTTTATAAATCAATTCAATAATATTCATAGAACAAATAATACATATACTATTGTTGGGTCCCTAATAAAACTTCGAGATATTCCTTGCTTGTATTCTTATATTCAGTACTTTTATAATCGTTAGTGAGTTACATAATTTATAATCATAATTTTCAGTATTACAAACAATTCGTGCCTAGTCACTATATGGTGGTACCGACATCTCTGTGAATAAGCGCGGGAAAAAACAAATGAATATCCGCGCCTTTTTTTATTTTTTTTTAAAACACATTCCTATCGGCCAAGGTCACATAAGTAAATGCCTTATACATAAATCATTACAAATTAATCAAATATATTATTTTCTATTAAAACACTCAATATATAAAAATGCAACCTTTTAGGTACACTATAACATAAAAGGAAAAAATGTTTGAAATATCAACTAGATATGTTCTAATATCAAGTAGGTACCTAATACATATCTACATCTAAATTAACTCAAAAAATCTTAGAATTTGAATGAACAACCAATTCTTATATAAATAAAGTAAGCGATTTTCAATTCTGTATTTCAAACGTTATGATCACCGAAATTTGTTTTATAATGGGTGTCTCAATAAGAGTGCACTATTTAAATTTTGTGTCATTTTGTTTTTCGTGCATGTGACAACTTTGAAATTTAACAGCTGTTACCTATGATTGTCCCGATTATTAAAAATAGAGCGCTACACAAAAGAAGAACGTGTTAAAATTATGAAAACCCACTATAAAATGGGGAAAATTACGTTGAGACAACTCGCAAGCTTGGCGGAATTTTCGGTCGAGAAAGTACATCTAATGTGTCAACGAGTTATTATTGATAATAAGTCAGGTTATTCTTCTTCTTCCTTCTCCTTCCTTTTCTCTCCAAGATCATGCAATTTAACGCCGTGTGATGTCTTTCTTTGGGGTTTTGTGAAATCCCATGTCTATGCAAATAAACCAGAAACAATTCCTGAAAAAGTTATCAAAAATTCCATAAAAAGAGTAACAAAAGCCTGTCATCAGAGTCACGGGAGCCATTTGCTGGATATTTTATTCTACGCTTAATCGGAACATTTCTAATTTACAATGTAATAAAATTTCACAACTCACTCAATAAATACGTATTTTTATTTTTAAATGAAATAGTGCACCCTTATTGAGTCACCCTATAATTGAACTAGCGAGAGTGTCTTTAGGTGCCTTTTGCTTTTATAATACTGGACTCTACCAAATAACGATTTTATTACAACATCAAATTCGTATCCTGCATTAAAAGAACTGAGCACACAGACAGACGGACACGAACAGCTTGGCTTTACTGTATACTTCCTATTTATTGATTTTGCTATTTTTGATACTTCTTAGTGTATAAAATCAAATATCTGTCTATTCAATAACTTTCTCAGCATATGTGCGTGAAAGCGAGTTATTTAAACAACTTAAAAATTGATAAAAACAAGTAACATAAAAAAAAGCGAAATAAAAAGATGAGTATTAGTTAACTAAGGATTATAGTATTATGCAGTCTCTCGTTTACTACTTTTATTAAAATAAAATATTTACCCATGTACCTACGAACCATGGGAACCATGGCTGTGACACACGAACAAACGGACAGACCTACACACAGACATGGCGAAATTATAAGGCTTCCGTTCTAGTCATTTCGCTATGGGACCCTAGAAAGGATTTTACTTTTAAAAAATATATTTAATAATAAAAAAAACTTTTTAATATAGTTATAAAGTTTAGTATCTAATTGTAAGTTATTTGATTTCTCAAAAAAAGACAGTAGGACATAAAAAATACATATAATTATTTTTTTTATTTTGAAGAGCCTCATTTGAGAACTTGTCAATAATATGTAAGACATTCAGTTTTTTACTATATGATCGGAAATCGAAATGGCATTCAATCGCGGAGGCTTTCGCCCAGCAGTGGACAGCGAAAAACAAAAAAAAAAACAACCTACACCTATTTTTTTATAATCCGATACAAAAAAAAACCAAACATCCTTAACCATGAACCTTAACTACTATTTATATTTAATATTGATTATTTGAAAAGTAGTAGTATCAATGTTAAAACATTTTTCACTAAAAGGTTGCGAGCTCATAAAAGTAATTTAAAAAAATATGTCGACTTTAAAAAGAAAATAAATCAAAATTAAGAAATTTCATTTTTATGTATACACGAAATTAACCAACAAAACAAAATCAGAAGTAGATACGAAACAAATAGGGGCCTACAACTTTTTTGAGGTCGGCGCAATTTAAGCAAAGTACTTATCAAATATTATATTCTGTTCTTTATTGGTTAGTTTTATATTCGATCTGCATTGCTTTGCTTTGCTGGCATCGACCTCAAAAAAAATATGAAACGAATATTAACCTATTCCAATTATTTCCCATTGATGATATTTGTTTTTGATATACATAGATATAAATGCTAATAGATGTCCCAATTAACTGTTACTCCTGATTTATTTATTATACCAAAATTTCAAAATTGATTGATTATACTATAAAATCTACTGATTAGTACTCTATAGAGTATCGGATAGGTATACCTGCGGTTTTGTATCTTCCATATTTTAGAGCTCCTTTATGTTTTTTCTCACCTCTCACTTCTCTGTTCCACTGCTTCGTATTGAAAAAAATACCTACCTATCACTTAATAATTCCCTTCACGTATTTGAGAAACTTAATTTATTTTGCATGTAATTTGGGTTTTGATCTACATATTGTGTATATTTGAGTGTGTACCTACGATTTTTTAACGTCTATAAGATAGATACTCGTTACATTATTACATTATTTACACGAATAGAAATAAAATTGAAGGTTTTTTAGAAAGTTACTAAATATATTATATGCAAAATAATAAATTAAGTAACAAAAAAAAGTAGCAGGGGTTTCTTGTATTTTTCCATTTACATACCTCTTTAGTCAAAACTTAGGTACTTTAAATGAGAAAGCACTAACATTTAAGTATATTTCTAGTTTTTAATGTTTTGCTTTTTTAATGTTGAGAAATGCATTTACGCATACCTCCTGTACATATACAGCCGTTTATGTGTGAAACACCGGTTTAAGAGAAATCAGTACTACCCATTAAAACCCAATAGAACCTCCCTCGTCTTAATGGGACGTCGCAGGATCATTTACCCTACGCCCCGACGGTAGGTTGCTTCAACGGTCCACTCTGCTGTCAGAGAAGTATCAGGAGCAACCCGCATGGTATACCGCCCACCTAAGTGGGCCACCTTCCAGAGTCCCAGTCTCTTGGGTTCACGCCTGGCTGGATTACCGGACGCTAACCCACTCATCACGTCAGGGTGGTACCTTGACTATGAGGTTCATATAATCAAGGTACTACATACCTCAGTTACTGCCTAAGTTTACACAATTGCATTTGATTAATTCAGAAGCGTCTAAAGAAAGTTTTTGCTGTTAAAGAAGGATAAATTTACAAATTCTTTCGCATTTTATAATAATTTTACTTCCTATTTTGAATGAATATCTATTATGATTTAAGATTATATGTGAGGATAATACAAATTTACTTGCAGACATGTATTGAACATATTTTATGTATTTTCTTCAGCAGTGTACCGCCTACCTATTCCAACCTCGTCCCCAACGCAGTCTACGCCGCGGTGTGACGTGTCTTCGAGCGGGAAACGGAAACGATCCTGGTCTAGAGCCGTATTCAGTAATCTACAAAGGAAAGGCTTAGAAAGAAGGTTCCAGATACAAAAATACATTACCAAGCCCGATAGGCGACAGTTGGCCGCGACATTGGGCCTTACTGATGCTCAGGTAAAATGATAACTTAATGCTAAAAATTATATTGTTCAAATGATATAAGAGGATTTACAATATTGATTGTACCATTACATACAGTTAAATATGTGACCTCATACTAAATACCTATATTAATAGTAGAAAAAGGGAAATTTAAAACCATAAATCGCTACTACAAGTAGCTAGATACTTAGAAGAGCATGACCAAATTTATTTCATTTGGGTACAAAAACCATCAATTAATTATTTTATACTAGCGGCTCACACTCGCATCGCTCGGGTTCACCTCTAGAAAAGCACAAACAAATATATCCCTCGGGAACCGTTCATTTTTCCGGGATGAAAAGTAAATTGTTGTTAGACCGGCAATATAAGGTATCAGCATGCCAAATTTTACTAAATTAGGTGCATAAGTTGTTGTGTACTAAGTTGTATAAGTTACTATAATTTTTTTAACTGACCCACGGGAACTCCTTAACTTTCCGGAATGAAAAGTATCTTAGATGTTGACCGGGGATATAAGGTACCACCATGCAAAATTTCATTTAAATCGGTCCAATAGTTCCGGAGATTAGCCCGTACAAACATACAAACAGACAGAGAAACAAAAAAAATGAAAAAAATCTGGATTTGTTCTATTTGTCTTCTTACATCACACTGACTCGGTTTTTAGCATTTTTGTTCTATGTACAGACATTCGACCTCTACAGTTTTATTATAGAATAGATAAGAATAGATATTGCTTAGGAGTATACATATACTATTCAGAACTTTCCTGTAGGACTTTTCAAGACCCACAATTTTTAGTTTATTGTTTTGATGTAGGTATGTATGTCTTAAGGTTTAGCCAGCGGAAGGTTTCTAGGGAGGACTCGATAAAACCAGTTATTGTATCTTCCCGTGAGAAAGAAAGATTTTCTTGAAGTAAAAGGTATCCTAAACATTGACTCAAGTAATAAGTTATCACTTCACCAAACGTTGAAATCGGTTCATTACTTTTCGCGTGAAACGCGCATACAAAAACAGAAAAACTGACATACAGGCAAACAGAGACCCGGTTTTTAGCATTTTTTTGCTATGTACAGACATTCGACCTCTACTGTTTTATTATAGTATATAGACTAGTAGGTATAAAGTTAATTAATATGGTTTATGCTTTAACTCTACTTAGTAATTAAAATATGGTAATTTTTAAATAATTTTGTCATTAACCTCACTTAATCACAGAACCATAATATAAAATTAAAAAGTCCATCAATTTGTCCAGGTCAAAGTTTGGTTTCAAAATCGTCGAATGAAATGGCGACATACGAAAGAAGGACGTGCAGGCATTGGCACGGTTGCGGCTAGAGATCCAGACTCTACAGCCAACGATGACAATGAAGATGTAGACGTCGATACGCTTAGTGATTAGAAATAAGTATGTACCTAAATATTGTGGACCCAATCTATAAATTATAATATGTATAAGCAATAACAGGGGCTAAGTTTGTGTTCAAAAGGAAGGGTATCGCCTCAATAAGGCCTCATTTCCGCTACAGAATAACAAAAAAAAATTGTAATACGATACAATCTTTTCTTTACTTACTATTCTAAAAGTAGACTGTGTGCCTAATAAGGAAATATATTTATGAGAGAAAATAACTACAATTAATACCACTTGCGAGACGCCAAACTTTGGTCTAAACATTTTGTTCAAAATGAGACATTTTCAGTAACATTTCCCCTACCCTTACCCTTTCTTTGTAATCGGCAGATCCTTTTTTTTAGAATGAGTATGTATATGCCGGCTTAAATTTTATTGTCTCATAGAAAATCGACGTAAAATAGTATTACGTCTAAATCGGTAAGTGAAAGAACAGTAGATACGAAGTACCTATCTGTATCCTTGAGATGATTATGGGAGATTGCCAAGTAAATAAAAAATTGCAAAATTTTTACGGCTGTATTGATACTTAACATCGATATTCTGATATGAGAGTTTACATGCTAATGCCAGCATGTCACTAAAAATGTATGTCAATAAACTTTACAGAATATGGTAAGGAAACTTGAAAAACATGTAGGTAATTTTTTTAAAGTATTATATTATCTACATTTTATTTAATTAATTAATTAACTTAATTGTCATTTATGTTAAGTAAATAAAACAAATTATTATTAATATACCATGTACCTTCTTGTTAGAATTTTAAATATTAACCAATGCATACGTTTGCTCATTTCATCGTGTGTCTCTAGGACAAGGACCCATTATTTAAAATAAGATTCGATAAAATGTGTAACTGTAAAATTTCGGGTACTAATAAAAATTATTGCCTTTGATACAAATTAATTTTATGATAAAGAATAACTTATTTATTATGTACAATAATATTTTTTTATATTCTTAAGTGATTCATTTTAAGGGTTTATAGCAAAAATTCATGTGTCACACTACAACTTTTTTTTAGTGTATTATGTCAACTGTATGTTATCACTTTAATCAGTCAGTCAGTCTTGTTATGTATAATAATTTTTAGTTAACATAAGAATTGACAGGTTTCAGAAACAAATCACATTTACATTATTATCATTATTACTGATATTATGGTGAAGACGTATGTGTTACATGCACCTGTCTTTCAAACTCCTAAACATTTTGCGTGTGACAGTTTATCATGTTGAAGTGTGTGTGCACTGTACTCAAAGATTAGAATACTTCGGGAAATGATTTGTACTTCACTAATTTCATAATTATTTTTGAAGTTAAATTATTTTCTTGGTTTTTTTTTTTAAATGCTGGCAGCGCCATCTGTTATGGGTTTCACGTTATTCCATCATAAAAAAAATTTGGAAATACTTATTTTTGTAAAAATGTATATTTGTACAGTTTAGGAGATAGAAATAATAAATCAAATTAAAGCATAAATGTTTTATTATACTTAACTAAATATACAAAACGCCATTTATAGGCGTATACATTCGCTAGTAATCTACGAGTTTCACTTTGTTTCTCGAAGCTTCCTCATCACAAAACCGGTTTGAGGGGCCATCACCATATTGTTCGGAATTCCTTACATTTTGGTTTCTATATCCTCCCCTTTGATACGGTCTTCTCCAGTTTGGCCCAAATCTGTCATTTTCTGGTCGATGTTGATAATTTTCCTGACGATTTTGTTCGTAATTATCATATCGACCTCTATTAGGATACTTTTCCCTGGGTTGGTAATAACTTTGTTCTCTGTTATCGTCATTTCTTCTTTCGTAATCATTATTTTCATAACGTCTCTTATTAGTATAATTGGAATTTTTGGCTATTTCAGAATATTTTGTCCTGGAAGGCGTCGATACGTCTTTGGTCTCCCATACGGGTATACGTTTTTCTTCCGGTTGTTTACTTTTTGAGCGACTTCTATTCTCCCTTTTCCTCTCAGGTACCGGGGAGTTTCTGTAAGAAAAATCAACTTTATAGAGAAACTGCAAAATTTTAATTAACGATTTTTAGGGATAAAAAATTAGGAAAATGAATGAATTTTGTAATATGATATTTCTTTTTATTACATTAACTTATTTAAGAAGCTGTTGCGAAAGAGCTGAGGCTTGCCAGCAGTACACAAGGTTATTATATACAGACTGACCAAACTTTATTTTTTATCAATATAGAAAATTATATTCCACAGTTGTATTTAAAATTGGTTCTTTGAAACTTATTTTTTTAATGTGATCCATTTAGATTTGATTAAGTAATATACATTGATTGTTGTTTATTTTCAATTAAGTAAGATTAAAAATATGTTTTATATTTAATCTTACAGTATTTTTGTACTGTAACAGAAATGATTTTGAACTTTGAAAATGTTCACAAAAAACTACTATGAAAGAAAAGATGGCATTTTAGTTTGACCAACCGTGACGCTAAGTGCTACTGGACCGATTTTAATAAAACTTATTGTTTTTATAAGCAACACTTGGAGGTATAGCAATAAGCTTAACCATTTTTATGTACCTGGAAGATGATCCACTGTGGCTCTTGTCAGAATCGTCGTCACTCGATCGCCGGGACTGCTGATGTCTCATCTCCCGTTGCCTGACACAATAAAAAAATAGAATATCCTTCATCTAACAATTGAGATACTTTAAAATCATTTGTGTTGATAAAATAAACGTGAATTATAAATAAAAAAAAACGTGTGTGCGTACTTATGTACGCACGTAAGAAGTTATACTTCTTTGGCGTAACAGAACAAAAATCGCTAAGGATTTCATCCCATATGTCACAACTATTAATTTATCATTCCTTTTACAAACAACTCTCTGTTTGTAAAAGGAATGATAAATTAATAAAATAATTAAATAAGGCATATTAGGCATATTACAATCATATATTTATATAGAATATAATTTAAGGAGAGAATATAATATTATATCATTTATCAGACAATAACAATGGTTACCATGGTAACAAAGATTTATCAGCTAACTTCATCATGTCGCTTTTTGGCTGTCTATGTATGTGCGCGCGCACCGTAAAAATTTTACTCTCATAATTTTTTCCAAACGTGCCAAAAGAAGTATAACTTCAAAAAAATTCTAAATATTATTAAACTTTTACATCCTTTAATAATTTTTATGTGCTAGGATATATCTATACTAATAAATGGAGAGCCGATTTTTTTGTTCGGTTATACTGCGATAACTACTGAACCGATCGGAATAATATTCATACCATAAGATGCAGCGTGTTTCGGAGAAGGTTTTAGTATATGATATATTGGTGATTAATGTACTATGCGGGCGAAGCCGCATGAAAACGCTAGTCCTATATAAATGCATTATAGTGCAGATATTGTATTGAAAAATGTTAATGCATATAAAACTTTTATAGCTTTCTTTACAATTTTAAAGTTAGTATATTTTTATAAGTGCTTAAATTTTTTTTGTAGAAGAGAAAAATAATTAAATTCAATTTTAATCTTATACATCAAAACATATATTGTATATGTATATTATTTTAATGTGTATTATTTTAAGAATAGAATGGAATGAAAGATGAATAAAAGAAAAGAAGAATGATTTGTCTTAACGGCGGCATGACGATGAACGTAAATATTGTATAATAGCGTGTTATTGAGTGCTTTGATTTGTATTCTTTGATCCTACATACACATACATATCGTCCCGTTTCTGTGTAAACCTCGTATCTACAAAATCTTAATTTTCAGTAAATCGATAAAAACGTTTAGAGTTACTTAATTTTCATAAAAAGTTATAACTAATTTAAAATTTATACTCTTTATTTATCACCTTAAAATAATTAAACATCATTTTTGCTATCTGCATCGATACCTTGTTGTTATTATTAATTTAACGTAGATACGAGTTTTTTCATCAAATACCCTGGTAACATTTTTGCAGATACGAGGTTTTGAAATTATTATTTTTTTCTATAAGATCATTGGCGAAAAATTTTGTTATGCAAGGCTTTCACATTCAATTCATTATTATTTTATATTTATTAATTAAAACAAATTCATTTGATTTTGATTTAATGTGTTATAAATCATATGATTACTATTTATAATATGATTTAATTATTTTTTTCAAATATGTTTACAATTTATTGAATAATGTACAAATTAACAGCAGGATAATCTGAATAATAAGTAATAAGAAATAACTTGAACAATAACTAGAACTAAGAAGTAAGGATCAATTTTACAATTTTTTAAACGTATTCTTCTACAGTAGATTCAACTTTTAATTGATCATAGAAATTATGATAATCTTGGGGTAGCAATCTTTTCAAACTTTGCAAATCTTTGAATTTTCTTGATGTAATAGAAATCGGTTTTTTATATAACGGAGTGATAATATTTTTTCGATTTACATTTATTCTAGATTTTTTTTTGAGGTAATAAGGTCCAATCGTTCTGGTAATCGAGTTTATAATACAGCCCAGTTGAATCGTATTTAAGACATTTTAAATCAGTAACTTGTGGATCTCCTGTTTTTGAACCGGGTCTTATCGATTTGTAAAAATTTATTTTAGAAAAATCCTTAAAAAATGTGTGATCAACATAAATAACTTTATATGGCTCTGGATTCATTCTAGCTTAGCTTCTTTGATGATGCGAACAAAATCTGCTGGCACGTAGAGTTCCTTGTTTTTCTTTCAATAGATGAATGAACAGAGTCGCACTCCATTTGTGTATGACCAACAGTTAAATATTTCTGATAAATAGTTGTCTCAAATTTTACCAAATTTTAATAATTTTATATGTATTCATATGAATAAAAAATAAATGTCAATCAACAAAATGCAGTCAACTTAAGTGTGAACATGTTTACAAACATTCAGTAATAAGACAACAACGCCATCTTAACGTTTTCAGCGAAGCTTACGGTAGATACGAGGTTTTTGAATTCGAACATGTAGATACGAGAAAAATCAAAAGCCTCTAAAAAAAATTCTATCAACATTATGAACATTGCATGTTTTGTTTTACGTTACAAGAGTGCTAAGAAGTGATTTTCGCTAAAAATCTCAATTTCGAAAAAAATGGAGTTACGAGGTTTACACAGAAAGGGGACGATATGTGTATGCGTGTGTGCGCGCGCGCATGTGTGTCCATGTGTGGGCGTGCCGTGTGTGTATTCGTGTGTACGTGCACAAGTGTGTGTGTGTGTGACTGACTTGCGGCGCAGCTTGATGGCGAGCTCGCGCATCTCCTCGTCGCGGCGCGCCTGGCGCCTGCACTCGCGCTCCACGCGCTCCGCCTCCGCGCGCTTGTCGGCCCGCACTGCGCACACCACACACCGCACACGTTATAAATATATCTTTATTTACGTAAATACACAAGGGTTACAAGATTTATATATTTCTTAAAAACTATATAACACGTACTTTATTGACTTAAATACAAAAGGGTTACAAGACAAACTTTAAAACTATATACTACTAGTACTACGTTTGTTTAAGTACACTAACGTCTGAACTAAGCCGAGATTGCGTGTCTGTGGCTAGCCTCTTCCTATTACACAATTTATTTATTTATTAAGCTAATAAGTGATGTAACATACACCTATATCCACTTTGATAGATACATCCCAAACTTCTATTTTAATTATATTTAACTAGCAACTCACGCTCGCTTCGTTCGGGTTCTTCCCAAGGCTTATTCCCCATACAAACTTTCACTCCTAAGGGATGATTTCCGGAATAAAATATACCCTATGTCCATCCCAGGGTCTCAAACTATCTTCTTAGCATTCATCTAAATCGGTTCAGTAGTTTCCGAATTTATTCGTTACAAACATACAAAAATACAACCCTTCCCCCTTTATAATAGCATGTAGATTTATAATAGAATACATTATCAAATTCAAATTCACTTAATGAAAATTTTATGTAAGGAGATTGAACAAAATACATAAGCTTATTTTTAAAAGCTTATATTTTTATTTAGTCCACTTAATATACTAAAAGTTACTTGATAATATTACGGAAGCCTTACGAAAATCCTTTAATCCCCAGTAGTTTCTCAGTTCAAACTCAGTGGTATAAATTGAAAATATTATAATAGTATGTAGTAAAGTAAATATGAGTAACTCACATTGCCTCGACAACTGAGCCTGCATTTTCCTCTTCAATCTTTCCTTCATAGTGAGCGTCTCACGCGAAAGACCCTGTAAAGTTCAGACATGTGAATGTTTGAAAATAAAAATTAAAAGTCTACTGTCAGTAGAGTTGAACTTAAATATATTTTATTAAGCAGCGAAATAAAATCACATATAAAGTAAGTACATATAGGATATTGAATAAAAAAAAATCAAAAATTGTATATTCTGAAGATATACATACAAGGAGTATTAGTTAGAAGTAATGAGTAAATGTTTCAAAATTTTTTAGTGTATAAAAATCAAAACATTAGACTAAAATTGTCTTCTAGGTAAATAGGTAAAATGGGGTATTGGGAAATCATAATGATTTTTGAATACGTAGTGTTTTTGATATTTCATCGAAAAATGAAATAAGAGTCTCATATTTTAAATAGGTATTTTTTGAAAAGATTCATAAATAATGGATGTATTTTATGTTGGTGTTATTAATTGTTAACCAATAAAAATATATTCTGCAAGTTTATTATTTGTTTTAAAAAAATATCTTTTAAAAAGTAAAGGCAATTGTACATTGAGTCAGTAACTGACGTCAGTCCACTGCCCAGTCAGTGCTGACCTGGCACTGCCATCATGTAAATTTATTTCAAGTCAGTACAGTACTGTCGCGTCAGTACTGACTTCAATATTTCCGCTTTATATTTTTGGCGTCAGTCCGCTCCCCCGCCACCCGCGCTAGCGCAACTGACGCCGTGTGAATACCCGAAGTCAGTCACAGTTATATATTATGTATTATATTAGTCTATGGTCAAGAAATATCCTCGACTACTGACGAAATGTATGAGTACGTGTAAATAATATGAGTCAGTTTTCGGCGCCAGCACTGACGACAGCTACTAACCCTGTCTAAATCTGCCTTAAGAGTCTACCAAAATTAATATTTCAAAATTTCGCAAGAACTTATTATTAACTGGATGAGTATAATATTTACATTATGTAATATTATTTTATAATTAAAGCTATTGTTTAATTGCTTCCAACATTTTTAATCTATACATTAAATAAAACATTTCTATTTGAACATATAAACACAATTCTTTTAACAAAAGTGAGTGTTAACATCATTTTCGTTGATTGATAGAGCTGAATACTTTTACTAGTTTTTGATTTTTGTACTATTTATAAGTTTAATAATGAACACAATTAATATCAAAAGATATCATAGTTAACAAAAAACAACACCTCTGTATGAGGATAGTAACATTCAAATATATTAATACAATTGGAGGGTAGTGTTAACAGAAGGCATAAGGTATCACGTTTACCTAAAAGATGGCGTTAGTTTCGTTTTATTGGGTATTAAATCCAACGCCATATTAGGTCCTTTTATAAGACGCACTATCATAGATAACTATTTAAATTACGCTACAAAAAACGAATACACTAGTGTATTTCATTTCTGCATGTTGGTCACTTAAAAAATTCGATCAACAATACTACTAGATATCGGGTCGCGTAAGAAATCAGTCTCGGTAAATATAAGCTCACTTGCAAAGTGAGCGTATATTTCGATTAGTTCTATTGAAACACTGCCAACGTAGACACGTTCAGAATACTGCAATATGAATTTAAAAGTTACAAAAATAATACGCGAAGAAGAAATATTTCAGACGGAGTGTCGTTGTTTCGGCAAATACATGTAGATTAAGTCAATATTTTAAGATTTAACCTGCGAAATAATATAAAAATGAAATTTTGAACAATTTTAAATCCGCTAAGAACGTTGGCCCAGGTCGGCCAATATACGCGCCAATTCAAAGAAGCAAACAGAAACAAAACATAACGATTTAGCTCACAAAGCAACAAGGAGAAAAAGTGCTTTATGATTTTTGATATAAGGTTGATTTTACAATAAAGATTATAAAACTTACCAAATGATCGTAAGTCTATGAAGATAATTTGAAGATTTCTGACTTTATTACTAGGTACTATGGTGTTGATTAGGTTGAAATAAAACTATTATAAGACTTTGTCTTGGTTCGTTAGTATACAAATGTAGCTGTATAAGTGCATATTCACGCGGACAGAATTTAGCTTTGATTTTGTATGACACGTTATCTAGTAGTATTGTTGATCGAAGAAAACATATTTCAATATGGGATCCTCCATAGGTCAATCATAATTCAATTCAACAACAACAAAAAGACGACTTGGTTCGTAGCTTTTTGGCCGACTTTGAGAAAGGAGATGTGTTTTTTATTTAGGCAAGCTATATATTCGCCATTAATTGTGAACCGATTTTCATGAATCTTTTTGTAATTAATAGTTAATATTGCCTCAAGAATAGATTAATAAAAATCTTAAGATAAAATTTCAACCCTAAGCGTGGACTATTTACTTTTTAAAAACCACTTCATCTATATTTTTTATTTCATTGTAAAGGATATAGGATGTCACTGCGAGAAATCTTGGTATATTGTGATCGCCGCATTGTGTACTAGAGTAAACCACTAAGCCTTGCAGCTGTGATAAACTGCAGGTACTGTTACTGTATATGACTATTAACTACATATCTAGACAGTTTTGAACACTCATCCTTATATGTCTAAAGTCTCTATAGCCAAGAAACCAACCGTCTTTCAGTTTAATATACTTGAATGTCATTATACCAGGGTATTAACAGTGGCAACTCAGTGGATAACAGTAGGTCACAGTGAGGTATCAGTGTGGTATCAGTGGGTGAGTGAGTCCCGTGAGGCACTATAACCTTCATTCTACGGGTAATGCTAAGCGTAGTGTAACAACAAATGATTCTTACTGACTTTGGAGCTGGATCCAGTTAATCGTAACTGATTCACGTTTGCATCTGATTTATTTCCAACAGCCGATCTGAAATCATATGGTTTAATGTTAATTTTTTTTACAGTAGATATAGGTATGGGGGATATACATTTGTATATCATGATTATTGCTAAGACTTGGTTTTTTATATAAACAATTTCAAAGAATAAATACTATACTATAGGAATCGTACATGTGTTTATAATATATATTATTTTAAGCAAATTTTCATGAATTTATATATTCACAATATAACAATGAGATAACTTGCTAAGAATCTAATTTTATATTTTTATTCACCTAACCATCACTTACCCAACATTCTGTTTTATATAAATAAGGCCATTCATATATAAATTTTGAACAAATAAATGATAACACAAAAACAAACAGTATTTACTTATTTTTGTCCTCATCAGGCGATTCACTAGAATCTGAGTCGAGGGAGAGTTCACTCGAAGACTCGTTCTCTTTACGCCGTCCATAGTAACGCGTCGTGGGCTTATTTTGTGTTTTCTCTGTACTGGAAATGTATGAAATTTTAATATAACAATAGCGAATATGCGTGACTTTTTTTTATTTTTTATACAATTGATTACGATGTAAGCTATCATATTATAAAACTGTAAAAAACATATCCAGCTCCAAAAAACCTAAATGTAGTTTTTTAAGTATCATATCGATACCAATACTTTAAATTCCCGCCATTTTGGCGCGCTTGGCGTGACGTCATAGTCTATAATAACAGAAGAATATTTTATCGCTAAAAATGACGAACGACGTTTAAGGAAATTGATAACTGACTTTGTTATTATAGACTTTGACGTCACCTACGCTCCAATGGCGCTGCGTTTCAACTGCTTTTAATTTCCCACTTTTATTTGCACTTTTTAATAATTATTTCCTTAATAAAAAAATACATTAAAAATATTAGCATAGTCTTTTTGAATTAAGATTCAAAAGTAATAAAGATTATAATATATATATATATATATATATATATATATATATATATATATATATATATATATATATATATATATATTTAAATCACACGCATATTCATTGCTTAGCATCAACTAAATATAAGTTGTGATTTCAAAAATAATAATAAAGTACTAATAATAATAAAAATAAAGTACATTGTAACAAAAAATATAAATAAAATAAAAAAAATTATTGTAAAAAATCAAATACGAGTATAATAGGTCAACTAACAACTTATCAAATTTAGTTGATATTATAGATTAGATATTGAATTAGGAACAAAACTTTGATGTATTTATATTTCAATTTATATATTTATTATAGTTATTATAATTATAATTTCACAAAAATCTTTAAAAGACTAAAAAGCTCTTCATTTCCTCTGCATACCAACTCATTTGAACCATAATAATTGTAATGTGAGCAAAGACAAGATGGTGCCATCAATGAAGTAATCATTAACAAGAATTTCTTACCGTAATGATTAAACACATGTTTACCACCTTATACATGAATTATAATAATACAAGCTTACCTTTCATATGATATGGACCTGGATCTATTACGGTTCGTATATCCACTAGTGTTACTGTGAACAGGTAATATATAAATTAATTTTAAATATATATTTTTTAATAAAAAGAATTGTAACAGAGAAGTTAAAATGAAATAGTACAGAATTTGCAATTAATTATTTTTATATTGTATACTATGTAGTTAAACAAAGTGTGTCTGGTTTTTTTGTCTGCCACATGCTAATGCATTAAAATAGAACAATGTTTATTTTGAACACTACTTATAAAATAATCATAATATGAAATATTTAGTAATATAATATAGGTAAATTACTAAAGACATTAAAATGAAATATTTCAAAATAAGTTTAGCTTCTGCCTTTAATTATAAATTTATGTCATACTATATACATTTTAGTCTAGATACTTATTACGCTAAAGTTTAAATAAAAAAAATCTAACTAAACAAGAGTACAAACTTTACTGGGCTCCGCGACCGCCGTATAAAATTTCGTGAACGGGACCTCGATTTCGACCTCGACCTCGACTTCGTCCTTCCGTATGAGATATAAGATTTAGAGCGCGACCTCGATTTCGACCTCGACCTCGATCTTGAGCGCAAATAGGAACGGGATCTCGACCTCGATTTACGCTCGCGAGGACCTATTAAAGGCCGCATCCTGTCGGTAGAGTTTGACCTAAAACATTTGCTCTTATTTTATGCTTGCTTTTGCTTTATTTCAACAATTGGGTAATTCATACCACCAATCAATTAATATACTTTTTATGAGCTGTCAAAACGGGATTCTACCATAGATTTTGTATGACAATAGTAACTAGTGACATGGCTTATTTGCTACCACAATTGACTATTTATTAATTTTTAGTTGCTTTGCAACTAAAAATATAACTTAAAAGTTAATTGAAATTAATCAAGTTTTCAGGGCTAAAATAAACTGAGTTGAAAATTTACTTCCTAATAAAAGATTAGATGGATAGAAGTTTGTATGAGAAACAAAAAATTTTTGGGAGTAAAAAAACCGGCCCTACGCAAACATATAGATTAATAGAAAACATTACCTGAATTTTGATTTTCGAACAACTTCAGAGTATAGCATTTCTGGTTTCTTTAGATTTTGCTTCAATTTGTCTGCATACAGAGGTTTAGACGGCATATCTAAACAAAATAACTTCTTTAGATTTAAAATTGTTGTTTTTTGTTCTATGTATATATATTTACATATTTCATTTTCATTATACATTGAATTTCGACCATTATTAAGAAAGTTATGAGCAAAAAATGCGATCTTTTTTGAACCAGTTATCAAAAAAATCTCAAAAATTACTAGGAGGCCTCTTTTGACGAGTACTAAAAATACGAAAAAATTAAAAAAATTTTTTTTTTACTTCCAATTTGGCGTGGAATGCCCCATGTGTATTCAAACCTTTTTAACATCCCACTACTGGGTCTCACTTTAATACAAAGGTGGTCAGGCTATAGTGTTTTTTTTTTACCATTTGCCTAATGGTATATTCGGGCTTGTTGCCGCAACTCGACGTCTGCGCGCCTATTTTGCGCCTAATACTTTACTTATAAATACATGGTATGTCTTTTACTTTTATCAAATAAATACAGCAACCACAACCAAGATGTGACCTAAAAGGCTCTTGTCTCACAATATTAATTATTAAGTGTTTGGTGTAAAAGCTAGCTACCTATATTAGCATCCTTAGTTTGAGTCCAAGTTATTTAAATTTTTCATACCATTTAATATAGAAGAATACTATTACATTTACCTAACACATGCCTATATTATAAATAGTAAAAAAATCATTTCCATTATTAAACATTATTTGAAACACATACTAAACTCTGTATATATATGTACTCACATGGCTTTTCTTCTTCATCTGGTCCGAAGGAAGTGATAAACTCGATAGTAGAGTGTTCAGGTGATGGGCTTCGTGAGGGGGACTGGCTGGGAGTCCGGCTAGCGGGGGTAAAGGAAGATGGCGCTGCATAGCTCGGCGGGCTTACTACACGTGTTGCGAGTTTCTTATCACTGAAATGTTTATATATTAATGTTAGATTGTAATTTTAATTGTTTTCTCTTAGATTTCTTTAACTATGGCTGGATCACAATCGACATGCAAATTTCATAAAACATTTAATTGAGGAAATAATGTCAGTAAACCATAATTTAAAACAATTTGCTTAAAATTTAACACAAATGCCTTATCTTGAATGAAATTCTAAGAGATTGTATTTTTTACTGATGCCTATGTCACAAGCTGAGCTGCAAATAAAAACATGCCTTTATTATAATGCAGATAGAAATGATACACGATGAACTAACCGATGTGCCCTCCTCTCCCTTCTACTCTTTCTTCCAGAGAACATAGCTTTTTCCTTTTCCTCCCTCAACAATTGTTTTTGATGTTCAGCATCATCAGCATCTCCCGTTAAAAATGAGAACAAGTCACAACCAGCCATCCCAAATTGAGGACCCACTGCATTCAACTCATGTGCCTGCATGAGAAATTAATTATACTTTAATATAATAGATTCCAATAAAAAGGATAAAAATGCTTTATAAGTGCTATTACAATTATAGAAGAAAGGTTTTCTTTTTATTACCTGCTGTTATAAAATATAATTTATATATACTAAAGATAAATATATCTATACATAATTATAAATAATAAAATTCTAACTGAGTCGAATCTGTACATTAAATATTTTTTAGAATATCGTATTGAAATAGTCATTAATTATTATCGATCCCCACGCAAAATCTATAGTTTTTGTTTGTCTGTTTGTGACCGCATCACGAAAAAACCACTGGAGGGATTATGATGAAATTTGGTATGATAGGTGAATATCTGGGTCAACTTATAGGGTACTTTTTACTGCAGAAAAATATCTCATCTTTGAGAAATCTATACTAATCGTTAAAACATACTAGGGACAAGCCGAGTAGAATGAGGGTGAGTTGCTAGTACTCAAGATTTAACTAGAATTATTGCTATTACAATTTGCGGTTTTTCTTAGATATAGTAATCAAAATTCTGATAAATAATAGGTAGTAATAAACCAGAACCTTTATTGGTGTCATGTGCGTTTAGGAGCTAGAATTAAGATGCTGATATGAAGATGACAGACATATCATAAAAAACACTATTGTGCTGCCATTACAAGAAATGTTTTTTATTTGATAGAAATTATTTTCATTTTGAAATAAACAACTTTTTTAAAAGGAATTATAAAGCTTTAAAAACCTTATACTTTTAGTATAAGAACAGAACATATTGTAACTTTAAATTACTTCAAGCTATTTAGACATTTACCTGAGAAGCTTCCATTTTATTGACATCAATGCTTAAATCTACATCAATGATTTCCATATCTGAATCGTCATCTGAATCCTTAGATTCAGCTTTCTTAACTTCTGGAACTACTAGAAATTGATTAAAAATTATTGTTCTATATTAAAATAATATTCAACAAGAATAAACAGATATAATATGTAATTTGAAAAAAATAAATAAAAACAAATACCAACTTATGTCATTTTTTTTAAATGTTTTTATTTTTCTCTTTTTAGTGTAGACATAGTAGCAAAGTAAATTTTAATAAAAAACCGCTTAAGTCGTTAAAGTTAGTTTGATGCCAATTATTATATGAAGACTGACAAACTAAAATTCACTTTTATTAGTAACACTAAAAATTCTGGCTCTAAAACCCAAGTCTAACGTATTGGGCTTGTCAAATCAAACAAAATAAGCCCAAACTCAAAGTAGGTACCATTAGCTGTTGAAGAGTTCCACCTATCCACCTTCGGGCTTTACCGTCAGATCAGGTTGATGATACCGAACCACTACATTATCAACAGAAATAGAAACACTTGCAAAGTTTCAAGGCAATATGACAATTAGAAGTAGGTTAAATTCATTATTAGCTATATTTCCACCCTTATGGGTGGATTCTTTTTTTAAATAAAAATGGGACCAACTTGAAAGTATACACTTTCAAATAAAACAAAAATTGTACAAACATGGACAGGTAACAAACATAAAAAAAAATACAGCCGATTTGAGAACCTCCTCCTTTTTCAAGAAGTCGGTTGAAAAATATAAAATAAATGTATTTAATATACCATTTGAACTAGAAGGCTGATTGGGCTCATTATAATTGTATCCTATAGAAGCACCAGTTCCTTTCTTTTCACTTAATTTCTCTTTATGTTGTTCTTTTTCTTCAACTGTAACTCCAAATTGCTCTTCAATAGCTAGTTGTTGAAGAAATTTATCTTCACCTAAAATTACATTAAATAAAATTTGTAAAAAATATATAGTACAACAGAACATTGTACTATTATTTTAAAATATTGTAGGTTTAACAAAAGAATTATTCATACTAATATATTAGATAGATTTATTCATACTAATAGAGCTCATTGTAAATATATTATATCCTTTTGGGATAGGCTGGTTATACTATGAATAGGTATCACAAAATATTTTTTATTACTTATTCCTAGAAAAGTATTTTGAGCCAAAATTCTGTATCTTTCATAATTGCACTGTCTCTCTTCTTGAGATAATTCTTCTGGTGGAATATCAGGTGCTTTTACATCTGGAATGATATCCAAATGAGCACGAACATCAAACCTGTCTATCATGTTGTTGGTGTCGCCTTGCCATGGCATCCTGAAAATATATATGTTCATATATTATGATGTATTCTCATTACTACAAAATGTATTTAAATATTATATTGATTTGGTAGTGATTTCCAAGTTTTGTTAATTTTTAGATCATTTCAATAAAATATATTTTTTTGATTACATTATAGCTGGACCCTCTCCAGCAGCTGCTACAGCCGGATCTAAATGTATTTTACATACTCTTCCATGCAATTGTAAAAACTGGGTTGGTTCAGCTTTCTGAAACAAACATTTGGAGCTTTTAAAGTGACTTAATATAAAAATATTTGACTGCAGTTTTGCCCACGATGTATTTATTAATCAGATTAATTAAAAAGGGCAACAATACTAACAATCTTTTCGTAGAAGTCTTTACGACGTTCAGCTCTTCTGCGATAGTCCACTATCATTCCCCGTATCATTTTCTCTTGTCTTCTCGCCTCGTGCCACATCTTGAGATTTTTCAATAAATAATTCGCGAATTAAATGGACAAAAGTACGACGTCCTAAATTCTTTTAAAAGACGACGCCATTTTAAAAATCTTAAATCTCAATGACAGTCAGTCTGTGACTGTGTCACCGTGACTCACAGACTAAATAGAGAAATGTTAAAATTGTTGCTATTTTAATTAAAATTTATTATAACAATATCGAATAATATAATATCTATACATATAATAAAATTGTAATTCCGAATCTGTACATTAAATAATTTTTGGAAAATCTTATTGAAATAGACATTATTATCGATAAAGGCCAAATGTATAGTTTTTAGAATTTTTGTCTGTCAGTTACCGCATCACGGAAAAGCCACTGGTGCCTGGAGAGTGCAGGGATTTTGATGAAATTTGGTAGGATGATAGGCGGTTATTCGTGTCAACATATAGGATACTTTTTATTGCGGGAAAATATCTCATCTCTGAGGAATCTATACAAAACGTTAAAACGAAAGTAGGGACGAACCCAAGCGGAGCGAGGGTGAATCGCTAGTTATTAATATGATAAAAAGTTTATTTGTGCTATCTATATGTAGGTATATGGTTACAACTTAATGTATAGTGCAAGCCAGGAATTCAATTAAAGACAGATATTATAATTAATAAAAACTTTTTAACAAAAAATTAGACTGACTTCAAACTTAAACACTTAAAAGTAAAATTTAACTGATTGGTACTTTCAGTTACTATACATACGTCATCAAATATTTTCAGTCAGTGTGCTTTGTTTTGTATGGGCTGGCACCGATCTAATCTATATACCAATCATATTTCTAAGAATCTGTTCTGCTTTCCCTATTTTCAACGTCCCTTTTTCTTTATAACATTTATGAGGAGGCTACGATTCTAACAATATTTCAAGAATAGGTAATGCAAAAATTAAAAAAGCTCATTGATAATACTAATTTATTATATACAGATATAATTCACTATAATCTTCTACATCAAAGAAAATCTCGTTTTCTAGTTGATTTGGTTTGCAAATGGTTAACCAGTTCATAAATTCTTCAAATAGTTCTAAACTACCTAATGTTTCAGCCATACTTCTGTTAGCTATTAAGTAACTTCCTTTTTTTATGTTTTTCTTGAAGAAGTACCACATTTCTTTATGTTTTTCCACATCAACAAAAAAATCTAAGACATTGATTATGATTATGTTTGCACATTCAACAATATCTGGTCTCAAAGTTACATCTGAATGTACAATTTTTATTCTGTCCATATCCATAGAAAATTGATGTATTATTTTTTCTTGAACATCACAGCATTCTTTATTCATTTCTATACCTACAATTTTGGAAACATTGGAGAAATAATAAGCCTGGAATATAAATAAAGTGTTTAATAAATTAGTAAATATAAAATAAAAAAATACTTCAAAAACTTGAACATCAATAATAATAAATACACATACTGCATATAATACAGCTCCTAATCGCGATCCTACATCAAGAAGTTGTTTGTCCTCTAAATCTCTTGGAAGTAAAACTTTAAAAATATATTGTAATGCTTGCCTTGACATTGAATGTGAGATCAAAATTAAGTCCTGTTAGAAAACAGAATAATAATGTTAAGGTAAAATAATTTTATTTTTCAACTAATTTTAAAATTAATATAGTAAAAGAAACCTGAGTATTGCGAGAGTTACAGTCTAAGCAATAATGTCTTTGCAGTTGTCCCTTCTTGACCAACTGGTCAACTTGGCTTTCATCATAAAGGAACTCATCTACATGGCATGTGTTGACTTTATTACAATCAGCTTGATCGCCAACTACTGGCGGTACAATATTTTCTGTAGGCATTTCCGCTTCAAAAGGTACCATTTTTTTAATAGTTTCTCCTATTTCTTTTAGCAACTTTTCTGAATTTTTGAGGACCTTTTTATTTTCTAAATCTGAAAGGTAACCGCATTATAAAAAATGATCAAAAATGTATTTTTTATTGTGTTAGCAATAAAAAAATATAAAATATTTAACTTTTTTATATGATTGTGAGCAAATCCAGTTTTCAATCGTTTCCAATTCTGCATCCTCTAATTCAGATAATATTTCCAGCAATTGACATTTTGCGTTTATTGTGCCGTCGTCAGACATTTTTGTTTTAATATATTTATATTATTATGTTATTTCTACAATTTTTGTAAAGTAAATAAAATAAAAGTGAGGTTAATTCAAATTCAATGAGATCTTTAATCTCATACATAGAGTATATTGCTACATATAATTTCATAGACCAGGAATTTAACCTGTTACTAGCATAGACTGTCAAATACGTCTTAAAATATATTAAAGCAAGTAAAATACTTATTGACTAACAAATAATATATCTATTATTTCAGTATTTTGATAAATATTTTGATAATATTTTAATTAAATAATAGCAGGAATCATAAAATGTTAAATAGTCCGATGCGTAAAAGGCTAGAAATTACACCGTAAAAATTAAATGTCTACTATGTTTGGTGAATTTTATGTCAAATGTCAAGTAAATGTGCAATTTTTAACAGTTGTTTTTTTATTTTGTAATTTGTAATGACTAATAAGTATTAATGCTTTTTATTACTTATTCATTGTTGGTCTCCTTAAGTTGTTAAGTTCAGTGTGAGGTTAATAAAATGTGTCACAACTTTATTACACAAAGTTTATCTAATTGAAATTATTACTATAATTTTCTAATTCCCTTTTCAATCATTTTCCCTCGGGAATATGTTCGTTTTTATAGAATTCTAAAATAAAATTTATATAATTATCAACAATATTCGTGTATATTAGAAGTATAATGATAAATAATAAATATACTACATTTTGAAAATGAGCGAGACTATTTATTTCGAAAAAACTATAGGAATTTGGATGTCGGATAAGAAAAGCCAGAAACTGAATTGGAAAGAGTTGATTAAAGCTTGTAATTCACATGGATACAACTTGGTAAAGGTAATAAAACGTTTATTCTAATATAACAAAAATAGAAAAGTAAATAGACAGAAATAAATCATAAATAATAAACAATTAAAATAAAAAATGTAAAATATGTTGATATTACGCCAGTTCTTTATTGTGTGAAACTTGTGGTAAACTAAATTTTGTTTTTTTTTGTTGATCATTTTTAGTTGGATTTAGAGAGACCTTTTGAAGAGCAAGGAAAAATTGATGTATTACTTCACAAATTGACTGATATCATAGCTGCAGCTGATCAAGGTGATATGAAGGTAATCTATTGTTGAGAAAACTAGTTGTCTTTTTTCTTCTTAGTTTTTCCTCTATAATGAATACAATGTGATCAATTTATCTTATTTAAGTAATTGGAGCTGAAATCATCTCTTATTATTAATAATTATTTTGGTTTATCTACATAATAAGACTACAATGATCAATATAATATAGTATATTCAGAAAGTGTAATTTTTTGTAGTAAAAAATTTTTTTTTTTTCTATTTTTAGGCTGCAAGTATAATTGCAAGAGTGGAGCAGTACTTATCTAATCATCCAACCGTTACTGTGATTGACCCGTTAGATAATGTGAGAATTTTATTAAATAGGTAAATATATTCATAAACAATATAGAAAGAAAATGTTTTATACCTGTAAAAGATATGCCTTTAAAACTATGTAACTTTGTTACACAAGTTAAAAAACTTATTTTTAAGAAATGTATGTTATTTCCTTAAAAAAATGTATTTGTTTCATTATTGTAATTGTTACCCTAAAATATTTTTGTCTTCAAATACCTACTACTAACATTAAATTTACTAAATTTCAGATATTATTACTATTCAATATTACAAGATGAGTCATCATTACAAAGTCAAGGTATCTTTACACCTGCTTTTGCTGAGTTCACAACAAGCAATGTAAGACAAAACATTGAGATTATAAAACAAAGAGGTGTGAGATTTCCTGTTATATGCAAGCCAACTATAGCCCATGGATCAAAATCAGCTCATGAAATGGTTCTTATTTTCAATGAAAGAGGCCTGAATGTATGTAAATCTCCCTGTGTAGTGCAAACTTTTGTGAATCACAATGCAGTCCTTCATAAAGTTTTTGTAGTTGGCAATAGGTTAGTAATATTACCTAATAAATTCATATTATTTCACAATATTTTACATGTTATGTCTCACAACTTTAAGTCATTTTTGTTTTATATGACTTAGGCAAAGTAAATTGTGCTAAAGTAAAATATTGCAAACAGTGCACTAAACCATGACTTTTAAAATAAAACCAAGTTGTTTTTTTTTGTCTGTCTATTTACGTATGTCACTTAAGAGTCATAAGTGACACTTCTTAAGACGAGTCATACAATGTGACATTTTAACAAATTAATACTTATTGTATACTAGCAGAACCCGCGGCTTCGCTCGCGCTAAAATAACGAAAAAATCTCTGAAAAGGTAGTTTCATACAAACTTTCAACCCCTATTTCACCCCTTTATAGGATGAATTTCGAAAAATGCTAAAACACGTTTATAAATTTTATTGAAGAGCTTTAATAACAAGTTTCAAGTAATTCTGATCATAAATATTATTTTTTGATTGTATTATAACGTGTTTTCCCATGGGAATTAGATAATCTCCCGCAGTAAAAAGTAGCCTATGTCACTCTCCAACCCTCCTAGTATCTCCACACAAAAAATCATGCCAATCCATCACTCCGTTTCGACATGAAAGAAGGACAAACAAACAAACACACTTTCACATTTATAATATTAGTATGGATATATAATATTTTCTCCATTCTACGTGACATTGGCAAAGTAAATTATGCCCAACTGGGACTTCTAGAAGCCACTAAACAAAAGGATTGAATTTTGAATTGTATACTTATTATAGTTTAGTATTAATAGTCAGTAGTAAATTTTAAAGACAGCATTTTCAATTATACAATTTATATTTCAATTGTTAATATTTAATTAGATAGATAAAAATATATTAAACATAAGCATTAAGCATCTTATGCTATGTGCTGTTATATTATCCAGACTTATTTGACAATAATTTATTAGAATAATATAGACAACACATTTGGCTCAGTTTCTAGTGACCCTACTTGCTGTGTCAGCAGTCGCGGGTTCGAGTCCCGCTGGGGGCGTTCATTTGTTTGAATGGTGTGAATATTTGTACTCCAGTCATGGGTGTTTATATTTATGATATGTATTTATTTAAAGTTACATATGTGTAGAGTATCAACTATCTGGTATCCATAACAAAAGTCTTATAGCTTACGATGGAACTAGATGGTGCTGTGTGTTAATGTCCTAACATATTTTTTTATTTAAAAATGTAATGGTAAATATTCTTATTTTTAGATATCACATATTTGAGCGACCTAGTCTTAAAAACTTTTATGCATCAGAAGATTTGGATCCCATACATTACAGCACAGGAGAAGTTTGCAAAGCAGACAGTCAATCGACATTATCAATTCTTGACCCCCATGATAAGGCAGATATGAAAATGACCCTTAATGAAGACAAAATAAAAGCGATTATTCGAGTGCTGAGAAAGAAAATTGGCTTAGTACTGGCCGGTTTTGATGTGGTCATAGACAATGCGACAGGTAACCATGCCGTCATTGATATTAATGTATTTCCTGGTTATGATAATTTTCCTAATTTCTTTGAACATTTACTATATTGTATACAAGAAACAGTTAATAAATCGTTAAGTAACGATAATGTAGATGATTGCAGTAGAATAGACGAGTTCACTAATCATAGATTTAATGGTTTAATTAATATTGGAGGCACTCATAGTTATGGGGTAATAGGTATGAATATTAATTAATTATTTCAAGATCTGTTATGGTGATATATTTTTTTTATAATGGCAGCAAAATATTTCTATTAACATTATACAAGATATAAAGTACTAAATACTATGAAAATAACCATAAGAATGCTTTATTCGTTTTTGCTTAAGGATATTGTAACCTATATTATATAACATACAAGTACTTGAAGTATTTTTACTCAAATATTCTTTAATAATAAGATTGAATAAAAACTGCTGAAGTGTATTATTAAAATAATAAAATTCCTTATTGTATTACATATTATATTACTTTTTCTTTTTTAAGAACTCGTTTTGCTTGGAATGAGATCGGGTTTTTTTCGAAATTAACTCAATTAGCAATAATTGCATTTTAGAAGTAAGAATAGTTGGTAGTTGGCAAATTTCGGTCATTTTTTTTATCTGTTTTAATATTAAAAACTATGTAAATAAAAACAAGTGTTTGTGACACAACATCTATAAATAAAAGAAGATCTGTTTCTTGTGAAGTTTTTCTATTCTGTTAATGTGAAGATTCTAAAAGCATTCAATAACTTTAATGGCAAAGAAGTTAAAAAACCTATAATTTGCGCACATATAAAAAATATATTCATAATAGTTGCTTATTTCGGTTATGTTATTTAACATAATTATTAATCAAAAAAAAGATTCATTTAAATGATTCCCGATATGGATTGAAATCTAACTAAATATATATTTATGTATAAATTATTCAACTATGTCGTTTGCACGATCTGACCAAATGGAACCACTGCCGATGAATCATAGCGTAGTATTGTAGTATTTTAAGGTCATGTTTACTACACCTACATAAAGATATTTAAGTTGGAAGAAAACATTTTTTTTTTGGAAATTATTAACATATGTAGGTTAATTTATGTAAATACATAAAATATTATATATTTAAAAAACAAACATGCAATGCAACCTTTTAAATTTTTAAATTTATAATGGAACATGAGACGTAACTTCATATGTAAGCTTCAGGTATAACTGTTTTTTAATTATGTAAAGCACACCCGAGGCAGTTGATTTGTGGTTGATATATTGTTATATTTTAATATTATTATAAGAGCAATCACTGTAGAAACTACTCTGATAATTCTTAATCATTACAACAAATGTTATTATTTTTTTAATTCGTAAGATTTTTTGGAATTTCCCAACTTGCGTTATTTTGTTTTAGTACTTATCTTTTTTTTATTTAATAATAATTGAATCTGATATTATTGTTCGGTTTTTTAGTATAACTATTTTCTATACATTCATATATTAGTAGTTAGCTCTCTAATTTAAGAGGCGTATAATTATATGCAGTATAGTTTAAATTAATATGATTTAGAGATACGTTAAAGATTAGAACGCTAAGTGTTCAAAAAATAATTTATTTTATGACTGCATAGCGTATCTATACCTGCTTTTATCACAATACATAACTTAGTAGAGGGATCATTCATAAATTATTTATTGATTACCTATTTTATATTAAAAATACCCAAATCCGTTTAGCTATTCTTTGATTTTATGAGTGCGAGTTTTTGAGAGAGACTTGAGTTTTAAGAATACTAGCGCAATAATAGACGGGTGTAAAATTTTAATTTTCTGGCCACTCTCCACTCATTTCGAGTTTTCGCAAAGCTTTTAAAGTTTTCTTTAAGCTTTGCAAAAACTCAATTCCGATTTAAATTAATTATATGTTTACATATGACATAAAATGTTATATTATACAAATTATGCAAGTTTAAAGACAAAAATCCGGATAAGGAACCAACAGTGCTCTAAAAATATTTTTGTTTTCATACAGAATTTTATGTCCTCTGAAGACGCCATATTCAATTTAGTGTGATGTCATATAGCATATAACCAGCGGACAATCAAGACACTTCTAACGATATTCATTTGTCAAATTATGATAGGTAGCTTAGAAGATATGTGGGAACAGATGAACATACATATAAATAAATATGTTGGGACATTAACACACAGCACCATCTAATTCCATGGAAAGCTACGAGATCTGTGTTGTGGATACCAGATAGTTGATACTCAACACATTTATAACTTTAAATACATAAATATTATAATTAATATAAACACCCATGTCTGGAGTACAAATATTCGTGCTTATCACACAAATGAATGCCCCCTGCGGGATTCGAACCCGCGACCGCTGGCACAGCAAGTAGGGTTACTACAAACTGAGCCGAGCTACGATTATTTGGGTAATTTCTTTTTAAAATGTTTAGAATAGTTAGAGTAAAGCCATTAAAATATAGGAAATTTCACAGAAATATGGGAAATTCGGCCAAAAATGAAAGTGATTTTACGTGAAACTTTAAAATCACACCGAAACATATTGATATCAAGTCAGAAAAGTGGACCGTAACGAAATAGGTTTAATACGAAATAGGTTGCATTAGGTCGCCATAGTAACCGTTGTTATTGTCTGAAAAATAATATATGATATTCTTTCCGTTGCTATCTTCAAAGATGACATTTGTTTTGAAATGTGCAAAATATTTATAAGAAACAAAAACATAAACAACAACAAAATAGACGTTTCACGTTAAACCAACGGCGGTGTGCCTCGACCCCATTTTTTCAATAGGATTTTTGTTGTTTGACGAACTTGATTCAATTTTCTTGTTAATGGCTTCAAAGCGTGCCAGTTGAGCATAGAGCACTTCGCCAATTTTTGTGCGAACTCAAAGATCAGGAACATATTGATAAAATTTGGACAGGACAATATAAGTTGGGTCAGGTGATATGTAATAAAATATTATACCAAATAAAATACCATGTATCTATATATACTAATCGGACTAGAATTTTCGTTATACCACGAAGCGTACTAAGTAGCTAATAGTTCCAAAGGAATATTCAATATAAATTAATGGATCCCTCTACCTCATTTAGTTTAGTAGTGTTTTATATACACAAAGCTCGGTTGATGTATTATAATTATAGTGCCTTTGTTGTTTATGTACTGCCACAAATACATTAAATAATAAAATTAAATGATTGCAATCTAAGTATGAATTGCTATTATTTATGCATGTGTAAATCATCATATATTAGTTTACATATTTAATATTAATTAACTCAAACATAAAACAATGCTAGCAGATATTTGGCCTATTAGAAGTGTTTATTGCTAAGGACATAAGTACGTGTTTCATGATTTTGAGTGATATGGTAACTTGTATTTGAACATTACATAGTTTTGTTAAGTTTAAATTTCGAATGTTTTGAAATCATTTTTAAGCGATTGCTAGGTTTTAGTGTTATTATATTTGGTAGTTATTTAAAAAGAAATATTTCGGAATATAAATCCTCTTAAAGAAATTGAAAATTATGTATTCCTGTTAAAGATATGTCTATTTTATAATATTCACTTTCTAAGTAAGATTATTCGAATATAAAGCAGACATATAATGGTAGAATAGATTTTTGATTTCACATGTGTTGCAAATAATGTCAAATAAATTAGAATTTATTGACAAATGTGAATTAGAAGTTTAGCTCTTGACTATTTAGTACCCGATTTTATACTATAATAATAATCACAGTACTGTCATTCCATGAAGAAATAGCAAGATGTATTACAAAGCGAGACTGATTTTCTAGACTTCGTAGGTGTAGTTTAAGATTTAACTCTGTATCTTTATATACCTACATATTATTAAAATACAATTATCGCAATTGGATGGTATTTTACTTTCAATCCTAACAATATTTGACATACATATGTACACATGATTATTTATCACGTATGTGGTAAAAAGGTGGATTCAGGGACTTTTACCTAACTCGAGTCCAATTAAAAATGCGGAACGGATTGCCAATTCCCACGATCTGAGTTTTATTTTTGAAATAGCGTGAAATGTTATATAAATATTTTATTACTGGAAAGTTAGAAAACAATATCGAGTTTTTGAAATAGCTTATTATTTTACAATAGCTTATTTGGAACAGTTCTCCAAGGGACGATCGAGTGAACACTGCGTAACCAAAATACATCCATACTAATATTATAAATGTGAAAGTGTGTTTGTTAGTCCTTCTTTTACGTCGAAATGGAGTAACGGATTGGCGTGATTTTTTGTGTGGAGATAGTTGGAGGGCTGGAGAGTGACATAGGCTACTTTTTACCGCGGGAGTTTATCTAATTCCCACGGGAAAACACGTTATAAAACAATCCAAAAAATATTTATGATCAGAACTACTTGAAACTTGGTATAAATGCTCTTCAATACAATTAAATAAATGTGTTTTAGCATTTTTCGAAATTCATCCCATAACATAAGGGGTTAAAATAGGGGATGAAAGTTTGAAACCTACCTTTTTTTGAGTTCTTTTTGTAGTTCTGCGCTGTCTAAACCGCGGGTTCTGCTAGTAGTGTGATATGTCTGTATTAGTTCTTAAGTTGTAAAATTCAGTACTTTCATTTCACATTAAAAATGTTCTTCGGATTAATGATAAAAGTAGAGTAGTGTCAGTTAATAATGATAATTTATTATATATTAGCGCTAATATTTTATCTTTGAAACCGTTCCAATAAGATCAAAGTGTTAACTATACTACGATTTCAATTATAACAAAAAGATGAATGGTCGTGTCTACAATTAATTAATAATAATTAATGACTTGTTATAAATTGGTTTTATATTATAAAATATGTAATATCGTGATACCATCCAGCTCGACTCATAACGGTTGTCTTGCTCTACCGACATTACTATAGTGACGGTAATTGTTAATTCGACACAGTTCCGTGCATAAATCACACCTAGTTGCAGCGAGAGGTAAATCTGTATAATTTATTATACATTACCGTACGCGACTTCCGCAGTGCTCCTGCGACGCACTGAAAACGCAAGTTAGATCTGGATCACTGAATACTGAGTACTCTTACACTCCATCTCGGCTAACGGTCGATAAGATGGATAGAAAAATTGGAACCGTGTAATTATTGTTGTGGCGTTGTTCCG